ACTTACAAGTATACTACTAGTACACTGATATTTGTATACTTGCTACATAAAGAATACTTAAAAATATACTTGAACTTTACTTAAGTATACTTACTAAAATAAACTTGAAGTATACTACTTTTTGGTAAGGGCCAGGATCAACAAAAGATGTTGATCCAGGAACATGCCAATTATGTCAGATATAGAAAATAATGCTATCTGTGCCTATAAAACAATAATGCTGACAATACCTTTAAGCCATCTCAATTCAATTTCTGGTTAATGGGTAATGTAAAATCTAATGTAAAGACGCATATTCAGGAAAACTTTTATGAAAATATACAAATACAGATCAAAAGATACAACTGCAGTAACCACAGGAATAGGAGCATATTTCAGATCTAATATAAAAAAAGCCACGTAATCCAGGGGTGCAAAATTCAGTTCCTGGAGGGCCACAGCCCTGCTACGTTTAGTTCCAAACTGTGGTTTTCAAATAATATTTATATTTATAGCTGAATCAGGTGTGTTTAATTAGGGTTGAAGCTAAACTCTGCAGATCTGTGGCCATCCAGGAATCTATCAGTATTGAATGTACTGCTGTTATAGGATTAACAAAGAAGCACAGATATTAAGTCCTGTTTTCAGAATTTACACTATTTGAAGTCATTAGCAAATAGTTCCAAGCATAAACAACAAAATATAGTAAGGTTTGTGCTCAAAGAACAATAAACAAGACTAATGAATTTGGACATTTCTGTCATAACTATTACAACCATTTCTACTGCTCTACTAGCCTCTTTCTGACTTGTTTGTATAGGTCACTGTGATTTTGCCAAGTAAGACATGTTCCTGGATCAACATCTTTTGATGATCCTGGATCATGATTAACAAGAGTGTAGAAGCACCTAACCCTGATCGTAAGCCTAAAATAGATATTTCCTTTAAAGTTATCCCTCAATTCTGATTGGTTAAATATATATATATATATGTGCAAAACATTATCATGAAAATATTTATGTTAAGTTCAACCAGAAAAGATAAATTTCATGATTTCCCACTATCTTCTGTTTCATTTGAGTTGCACACACACCTCCACCATATTCATGATGTGGAAAGGAAGCCAGGTCAAGCCGAAGGTGATGACGATCACCAGGATGAGTTTCTCACTTCGGATGTGCCTACGAAATCGTGTCTTGCGAATTCTGCGCAGGATACACATGTAACTGCTAATGATCAGCCCATATGGCATCAAGAAACCCAGCACAATTTCCAAACAGTGCTGCAGTATCACCTAAAACAGAGTGAAGAGCCTGCAAATAATTAATAAACATCATTTAATCTCATATGTAAGTTAATTTTGAGATAATTTTCAGATTAATAAAATGATTGATTTAGACTCCTCCGTAGGTATGTTAACATGCCCTAATTTTTGCCAATCAGAAGGAATCCAATCTGATTTCAGTTTCTGAACGTTCTATTTTTATGAACCTTAAAGCATACAGCCCGATTCACATATTTATGTGCATTACATGAAACTTCAGCACATGCATAGCGCCCAGTCAACACGTTCAGAACGGGAGAGTACGATAATAGAGCTACCGTGAGTTTTTGCCTTGATATCTAAAAAGAAAGCTGACATATAAATCTCAGATGAGCCTTTAGTTAATATTTAGTAAATATTCCGTATTGTCCACTGACAAGTTGCTCAATTTTTTTCCTGTTGATTTTAGGTCTACACCAACCTTTTCAATCCAATTGAAATTTAATTCGATTTGAGCTCAATCGCATCGATTGAGGTGTTTTTGCATGAAGCCTTTTTTAGTCCGACTGAGCCATCAATCCGATTACTAATGGATTATTTGCATAGTAATAACTGAAAGAGCGAGACATTCTTATAGATTGTGTTTGATCACGGACCCTTTTCACACAAGTTTATTGAAGTGGAATGCATTATAGATAGATAAACCACAATGCCCTTGCTTCCACCAGATTTCTACTATATTAGGCCAATGTGTGTCTATTGCTGGAGCAGACATTAACATTGTGTCATTAACAATGATTTTTGTCTTTGGACTAGCAAAAGACAGTTTACCCTTGTGTCTATACCCTTCTATGACAACTTCCACTCTGAAACACAGAAGCTAAAATAGGACCATTGCATCAGAAAGCTCAGTTGTGAGGCTACATGTGCAATTCAGTTGTAAAAATGCTTAAAACAGCGATATAGCATTTTGACACACTGCAGCACTACTAAAAAATAGCTAGTTATTGGAAAAGCAACAGTAAACGTCTGAGCTACTGTGGTATAAACATACTAGTTAAGTTAGTAGTATGCATACATTGAGTTACTATTCTTTTTAATTGTTACTAAATATTATTAGTTTGTAAATGTTTATCTGGCAAACATAACTTACATCTCGTGGCTGTGGATGTTTACAATCACACATTACAAATGTTGGTTCTAGCTCACTCCTGAAAGTGGTCCAGAAAACAGAGTTAGGTACTGATATGCCGAGAGCAAAAATCCACAGTCCCACCAACACCCGAATAATCGCCCTCCGGTCTGTCAGGACACCAGCATGTTTCCACCACACTACAGCCACCATCCTGTGCAAACTCATTAGCATTATCAAAAATATTGAAGCGTACATGTTGGCACTGCAGAGGTACAGCAGAATCTTGCACAGTGGCAGGGTAAAAATCCAGTTGCGCTTTAACAAGTAAACAATGAAAAAAGGCATCAAAAGCATCAAGAATCCATCCGCAAAGGCGAGGTTTAGGATCAGGAGGGTTGTGATGGAACGTTGGCGGGTTCGAGCCAGGATGCTCCAAATGATCAAGAGGTTTCCAGAGACACCAATGGGTAGAAAAAGGCAGAGGATCAGAGCCCCTGAAATCGATCCAGCACTACTTCTCACAGCTGTGATATTGTTTGTCCCAGAGTTGGTGGTATTGGTGAGAAAGTGGACTGACATGGTATGAGATGGAGTGCAAGAGTAGAGCGGTTCCTTCTTAGAGAACAACACTCGGTCTGAGAAACTCTCGACTCCAAAATGGCACCAGCAGAAACATCAATAAACACAGAACTATTTATTGTGCATTAGCACAGGTATACATTGATAGCCTTCCAGATGAATTACCAAAATGATATTTTACCAAAGTGCAGACTGGAGACTGCATAATGTGATCGTTATCTCAACTTGTTTCCTGTTCGACTAGACATGTCCGTCATAGCAAACAAATTCAATGCCAGCCATCTGTCAAAGGGCCACTAACATGTTACACACAAGTGACTTAAACACATCTATATCAGATGAGGGATATTAAAAAAGAAACAGAGGAAAGGAGTGAGATAATAGCTTCCTTACTTTTTTATAGCATTTGTGTGGATACTTCCACTGAAACCAAAGGTCAATTTGGCCAGGACACCAAAGTCAAACATCTACTCACAATGGGATTTTTACAACCACACACTGTCTGAAAAAAAAAATGTGGGAAAAATCGAACCTTGAGAGCTACACAAGCTTGTCACTGGGGTACTACCCTCACAGGAACACCTTTTGTACCTTTTCTACTCCTAAAGGGTGCATATTAGTTGTTCATTCAAGCTCAAACAGTAGAGCATGGTGCTAGCAACACCAAAGTCATAGGCTTGGGGTATTGTCCCAGTCATAGGGTATTGCCCCAGTGACAAGCATTTTCTTTGAGGATGCAGAGAGTCAGGATCTCTCCCAAAGAACAATGTCTTGGATACGTTCCAACCTGCCTGTAATTTTCATGTGATGCTGAAGACCTTGTTAGTTCATGTATGTTTGATTGGGGTTGGAGCTAAACTCAGCAGAACTAGTCCTCTGTGATGACCACGTCTGTGAGGACCTGGCGTAAGTAGACCATTCTGAAATCTAATGTCTAGTGAACTTCACACAAACATACAGACCACGACAAATTCACCATTAGGACAGGAGCATACTGGGATAGTATGAACCATGCCGCCATCAATGTGAGCACCTTACTATCAACTACACCAGCAACATTGATTTTGCCAGGTAGATCTCCCACCCAGATACCGATCTGGCTCAACCCTGCTTAGCTTCAGAGTGCAACTGGTTGTGAGCTACCAGGTGACTTACATTGATTTCAAATAACAGGTGTACAAAACAAAAAAGGCAGAGCAAGTTACTTTAGGGCATTCGAGTTCAAGAACTATTTACTTTAGAATTACAGTGTGTATGCTTGTTATACATGAGTTTATGAATACAGGTACAAAGTACACACTTGAGGAAATCATGTGTTATGCGAACAACCAACTCACATCACAAAACCACTGATCCACTTTAAAATAATCATCGCATAAACTACAAGAAACAAAGAGTTCTTCCTTTTTTCACAGATGTCTTCCTCAAATTTTACAATGTTCTAAACTTGTTTGCTGCTGATTTTTGCAAAACAGGTCAACTGTCAAAATTGCCCGGAAAAGGTGTAATGGCATTTTCCGTTCCAAGTATGTTTCCACAGGTAGGATTCATTCATGGCTTTACTTACTTTTGGAGTCTTCGGCAGTGGTGACTAAACATGGTAAGTGTCTCATTGATGTCAGTGTGTTAAATGATTGCCTTACAAGTTTAACATTTTTGAGTTTTTTTCTAGTTGTACAGACCCTATGAGTTGCATTCTCATTCATTTTAATAACCATTTCTGTGGATCAATTCTAATCTACACAGTATATGCAGTTAAAATCACAGATAAATCACATTTTACCTTGGTGCCTCCTGCTGGCCAACTGTCCAGGGTGTTTCTCTACCTACAGCATGAGATGGTGGAATAGGCTCTAGAACAGGGGTGCCCAAACTCGGTCCTGGAGGGCCGGTGTCCTGCAGAGTTTAGCTCCAACCCTAATCAAACACACCTGAACCAGCTAATCAAGCTCTTACTAGGCATACTAGAAACTTCCAGGCAGGTGTGTTGAGGCAAGTTGGAGCAAAACTCTACAGGACATCGGCCCTCCAGGACCGAGTTTGGACACCCCTGCTCTAGAAACCCTATAACTTTACGTAAGACAAGCGGTTTAGAAAATAGATGAATAGAAGATGCCCCTTTGAGGTTAGTCATAGTATTGCATTTTAGTAGAGGGATTAATTTTGTAAAAAGTTTAATAAAATGGCCAAAACATACTGTATGTGTGTTGAAATATATTTAGAGTGTACTGCTGTAGCATTTTTAGTTGGCTCTTGGCATACAAAATGGCCAAAATGTGGTTAGAGTTCAGTCTGACTTCCTGTAAGTGGTGAGGCTTTGTTGTGTGAAGGACAGCAACATGCAGGATTTTGCAGCTTCATTTCTGTGATTTTTACATGTCATTTCATACGCTATGTAAAAAATTAATAAATATCTTCACATTCTGTATTGCGCAAAATTGTGTTGAACATTTCAGAGTGTTTGCTTGTTTGTGTTCACATGAAGTGGAAGTTTATTGCATCTCCTAAAAGAAAATCAACATTAATTACGTGCATGCAAACCTTTGACAGAAGTGATTGCTGAAGTGTGGTTTAGCTCAAGCAAAGTGTTAAGTTAAGCTCAGTACTTAAACCATCAGTTCCACTGAGTTGGTCACTTGAGAAATAATGACTCATATGGTCTCATCTTTGTCTAGACAGGTGGTTCCCATCTGCTTTAGAAATATCGCCATGACATGATTTTCCTAACCTCAAATGGAAAAAGAATGGCAGTGCAGTCAGTGGGGTTTTAACAATTTGATAAAATGATTATTGTTGCTTTTACATGATTGTTTAAATTTCTACATCTGTAAATACTGTATATATCTATATATCACTATCTATATATCATTTTTTTTCTTCCTTATCCCTCTGTATTTACAGGATTTCACTGTCCACTCTGTTCAAATGTGGATGAATGGCTACACATAGATGTGTCCAGTCCAGAGCTGTGTGAGATCACTACCATCCTGATTTTGTGGGGGTGGGTAGGGTGTTATTTTATTTTTTTTCCCCATAGGTTTTTAACATTCTAAAAGCTCTTTATTCCAAATATACTACAAGTTAGTCAGTCTATTCAGCAGGTGTAATGTATTCTAAGTTACTTCAGAAGTATTGCAAGTACTACTACGTACAACAATAAAACAGTGCATTGACATAAAAAAGGAAATTTACTTTTGGTACTTAAGTACTTTTAAAAGCAAGTACTTCTGTACTTTTACTTAAGTAAAAATATGTCTTTACAACTTTTACTTGTAATGGAGTAATATTTGACCAGCAGTATCTGTACTTTCACTCAAGTAATGGAGTTGAGTACTTTGTCCGCCTCTGTATATATCTACAAAACAAAAAAGCTTCATACTGTTAAAGGTTAAACCACCTGGCTTTGCAGTTCACTGGTGATCAGGTGACCATGTGACCATGTGTGGAAAGCCCAAGGCCAACCACACTGCCTACGTTTGATCTATAAAGAAGCATTTGGCTAGCCATCATCTAGTAGGTAGATGATTGCATTGGTAATTATAAAAGAGAGAAAAGTTTGTGATGTCTATGTTTATTCATTAAGCAAGTAAACATATGTTATGAAATTTTATATTTAAAACAAAAGTATAAGCAACCTGCTGGTATAAGGTCAGGAACAAGCTTTTCTGTTTATGATTTGGGCTGCAGGAGAAATTCTTTTTTCAAACTCTTCACACGTCAAGGAAAAGACCACCTCAGTATACTGAAAGAGCAATAGCATTTACAAATGTATGTTATGCATTTCTATCTGGTTTATGATAAAGAGTAAAAGTAATCTTTAAAGTAATAAATAAGATATGGTTATTGCATAATTTACCATTGCATTTGGCTCTTGAAGTAGTTCCAGAGGCATAAACTGAGTCCCCTCTAAATCTTCTTCTTGTCTTTTTATTTTTTCTCCAGAGTAGCAACATACACCTGTAAGAGAAGAGAATCATTGTCATATTTTACAGATAGATTAAATTAATTTAAATTAAATATAATATAACAGAACTTACCAATGACCACAAAGACCAGAACACCATGCATCAGACCAGATAAGATAACAATAATCATCCAAGCTCTCTGAATTTGGTCAGTAAAATTCACCACCGTATGATTCTGCTCAATATACTCCACCACAGCGTGATTCTGGCACTCAGGTAGTTTAGTTGGTTCTGTAAAAAACAGCCCTACATTGAAAGCACTGAATATCCATATGGCCTGATCACTGAATGCTCACTCACCAATGATGTGAAGTCTTGTGCCGTTGCTGAATTTTGGAGGTGCCTCTGTGGTCATGCAGTAATAAACGCCTAACTCATCAAGAGTGACATTTTTTATAAATAGATGATGTTTAGGGTGCACAGAATATTTGGGTCTGAAACTTGCATCGTAGTAAAAAGGAGTTGGAGAAGTTGAGAATAACCGCAATATCATAACAGGACGATTTGGTAGTTTCAGTAGCATCCAATAAATCTCTTTTTCTTCAAGATCACAGTTTATGGACACATTTTGTCCCAAATTTGTTAGTTCTGTTAATGTTTCTACAGCTTGACACCATGCTAGTAGACCTGCAAGATAAAAAAAAATAATATAAAACACATAGAACAAAAATAGGATTCTTAAGAAGCATAGTATTGTTCAACAATAAATTAAGTTACTCGATAAAATACTTACAGATAAGATGCTGGATGATCTTTGTGTCATTTCCGCATTTAAAATACATTGAAATGAAGAAATCTGGTTGCTTTCAAAAAGGCTTTAAGATGGAACTGTAATTTAGAGCTTTGAAACTCAGAAGAGGGCAGTTTTCTACCGACCACTGAAAGGAAGTCACGCTCACAAACCATACCTGACAGATGTTTTTAAAGCAACAGTTCACCCAAAAATTCAAATGGCCATTCAAGATGTAGATGAGTTTGTTTCTTCATGGAAACAGATTTAGAGAAATTTATAATTACATCTCTTGCTCACCATTGGATCCTCTGCAGTAAATGGGTGCCGTCAGAATGAGAGTTTTAGGGTGCACAGAATATTTGGGTCTGAAACTTGCATCGTAGTAAAAAGGAGTTGGAGAAGTTGAGAATAACCGCAATATCATAACAGGACGATTTGGTAGTTTCAGTAGCATCCAATAAATCTCTTTTTCTTCAAGATCACAGTTTATGGACACATTTTGTCCCAAATTTGTTAGTTCTGTTAATGTTTCTACAGCTTGACACCATGCTAGTAGACCTGCAAGATAAAAAAAAATAATATAAAACACATAGAACAAAAATAGGATTCTTAAGAAGCATAGTATTGTTCAACAATAAATTAAGTTACTCGATAAAATACTTACAGATAAGATGCTGGATGATCTTTGTGTCATTTCCGCATTTAAAATACATTGAAATGAAGAAATCTGGTTGCTTTCAAAAAGGCTTTAAGATGGAACTGTAATTTAGAGCTTTGAAACTCAGAAGAGGGCAGTTTTCTACCGACCACTGAAAGGAAGTCACGCTCACAAACCATACCTGACAGATGTTTTTAAAGCAACAGTTCACCCAAAAATTCAAATGGCCATTCAAGATGTAGATGAGTTTGTTTCTTCATGGAAACAGATTTAGAGAAATTTATAATTACATCTCTTGCTCACCATTGGATCCTCTGCAGTAAATGGGTGCCGTCAGAATGAGAGTTCAAACAGCTGATAAATACATGAATCCAATCGATCAATTAACATCTTTTAAAGCGAAAAGCTGTGTTTGTAATAAACAAATCCATCATTAAAGTGTTTCAACTTTAAAGGGATAGTTCACCCAAAAATGAAAATTCTGTCATCATTTACTCACCCTCATGTCGTTCCAAACCTGTATGAGTCGCTTTCTTATGTTGAACATAAAAGAAGATATTTTGAAGATTGCTGGTAATAAGAGCAGGAAGAAAAATTCATACGTGCCTTTGCCAGGCTCTTCAAGTTCATTTAAACACACTTTTCTTCAGAATCATGCTATCTATATCTCAATGCTGTTTTCTGACATTCTCTTTTTTGGTAGATGAGAAATGGGCAAAGCATTCCATTCATTTCTTTTCTTATGATGACTGATTGCAAAAGGCTTCCTTGCACATGTTCTGCTGAGATGATGAGGAGGAGGAGGAGAAGGAAGAGAAAATAGTAAAAAAAAAAAGTATATTTCAGATGTATTGATGGAAATTTTTTGTTCTGTGCACTTGTAAATTTTTGTCCATGGGGGTGGCTGGCTTGTGTAATTCGATAAAAACACAATGGAAGCTGTTTAAACTACTTCAAGAACATTTGCAGCTACCTGACCACTTTTAATACACTGCTTTAATAGATTCTCCATTCCATGGCCATTTGAAAACTTTGTTTTTGGTTTTGGTTGCCAGGTGGCGTGCAAGTTGTACAATGCTGGTTTAAAGCACCTGAAGCAAAACTGGTGTTTTAACCTTTTCTACATAGTGTTCTACATAAAATGCAATGGTTTTCAAAGTGGTGGCCACAAGGGATCACAAAACATTTGAGAAGAAACCATTCAGGTTTTACAAACTGTGTTTTTATGGCTATCATAGTGCGCTTATATTTCAACTTTAAAGGGATAGTTCACCCAAAAATGAAAATTCTGTCATCATTTACTCACCCTCATGTCGTTCCAAACCTGTATGAGTCGCTTTCTTATGTTGAACATAAAAGAAGATATTTTGAAGATTGCTGGTAATCAAACAGTTGGTGGTTGCCATTGACTTCCATAGTAGGAAAAAACACATTCTGAAGTTAAAAACGTCTTGATGTCAAACATGCAGTTTTTGTTTCACAAGACATTAACTGATGGACTGGAGTGGTGTGGATTACTTGTGGATTATTGTGTTGTTTTTATCTGCTGTTTGGACTCTCATTCTGACGGCACCCATTCACTGGAGAGGATCCACTGGTGAGCAAGTGATGTAAAGATACATTTCTCCAAATCTGTTCTGATGAACAAACAAACTCATCTATATTTTGGATGGCATTAGAGTTTTTTTTTTTTTTTGGGTAAACTATTCCTTTAACAGTAAGATTATCATTAACATCTATACAGTAAGTAATGTTGGTGTCATTGCTTTACTGATTGTGTTTTAACCAGTCTAAGTTACAGTACAAAAACTGTGTGAAATATTGCCCGAAGCTTAAGGTTAATATTGGTCTGCCAACACAAATGCTGTATATTTGAACAAAAGACCACTGACCTATTAAGTTAATTTTATTTATTTTATTATTATTTTTTTTTAAAGCCACTTTCCCAAAGAATATCCAAATTAAATGAGACAAATGAAATTGAGAGATTCTGATCATTCAAGATAACATTTATATTAAAAAAAAAAATTACATGAATCACAAAAATCCTTAATTGAAGTTATAGGTAACACCACTGAATAGACTGATGTGGAAAAAGCAATGGACATTAAGTTGTGCCGAATGTATCGTGCGGTTTCCATTGTATATTACCACAGGAACTGAGCCTTACACACTTCTCTCTCTTTCTGTCTCTCTTCATTAAAATCTAGCCTTGATGAAACTTGCCTTTCCACAAAGTAGCAGAAGTCCACTAAATACCGTTTTTTGGATTTGCATTAACACTTTCCATTAGGGGTCGAGGAGTTTCGTCTTGTAAACGACTGACCACTAGTCAGATAAACACTGACAGTGATTTACTGTGGCAAAGCAACCGGAAATCGTTCAATGTGAACGAGAGCCGTCTGTTTCCTCTGAGCTGAGCTGCAGTTTATTCAAATGAGCAGCTACACGATACAGACAGACTTATCCATCTGATATTTATTCACCAGCAGAATGAGTTTCACGTCCTGATACAGTTAGATACCAAGTAAAACGCCTCCTAGAAACATTCATGGTGGGTAGACCTTTCCACAGCCAAATCTCGCTGTCTATAGTGACTGGAAACGTCAAAATCAAATTAACCACTCACTCCGCAAAACATTCAGTTTAAGAGGCGCTCAAAACTCTGCACAGTATCTGCATTGGTAACTGCAATATATAAATAAAGCATATAATTTTTTGTTTGCATTTTCTAATTAGAATCTTTATGTTATAAAAGTATACGGATTATCTGTATGATGTAGTATTTTATTCATTTGTAACACTTATTTTGTGTATACCAACAATACAACAGTATATGTTTAAAAACGTAATCGAAAGTTACAACTTTTATCACCTTAAATGATAAAACTGACTCGAGACCAGTTGCAATCGTACTTTTAATACTGCTTTATGTGTACTCTTCTAGGTTCAAAAAGCTGTCGTCCATAAAATGCGTTGCACAAATTTGAACATCTGGGTTGTGCTGGTTGTAAATAAATCTTAACCAATGATTCCTAATTGCATCTACTTCGGGAAGGCCAAATACAGTGCTTTTGCTTTCTCACTGAATCACACAGTGTCTCCCTGACATGGCTGCATCAACATTACTGCTGTTCCTGAAACCACGCCTTCTTTCTTTGCGTCCACATTTGGGCGGCATTATGCTAATATTTCCACATAGTGACGTAGACATGTGGGGGCGTGTTAGAATGAGCCGTTTTAGGTAGGCGTGGCTGACACTTAACTTTTATAAAGAATATCTCTTTGGATTTGAGACTTTAGTCTTTGCAACTTTACAGATCTTCTTTATGCACCAAGAGCTTGTAACACTCCAAAACTTGAAATCGCATCATATGACCCCTTTAAGATGAACCCGGCCAACCACCGATATTTAAAATCTTCCGAACAGCATGAGGTAACGAAGCCTCTTTCAATAAAAATCACGTGTCTTGGTTTGGTAGATTGATATGCACTCTGATCTCACTGATTCAAATTTCGAAATAAAAGATTCATATGCAGTGCTTCGCTCAAATTACTAGTTCCTAAATCCTGCTCTACATAAATATTTATAATACATCAAATGATTTCTTATCGAGTGGAATTTTTACTGTCAATGCAGAAAGACACTGGAAACTTGTGGTGCAATGCCTGGCAGGGACAAGTGACATGTTTTGCATTTCCCTGTCTTTGACATCATATTTAAAGCAGTTTGTTTACTGAACTGCAGTTGAATTTTCAGCTTTGACTTCTTGTCCAATACATATCCGCAGATAGCACACGTATGTTAAAGATCGCTTCAAAGTGTACAAACATCAGTTTTATATACATTCTAAATCATAAACATCTTAAAGACATCTTCTAAACGTCTATTTGACATCTGATAGGAAACGTCCTAAGTATAGACAGATTGCAGATGAAAATGCAGACGTCAAATAGATGTATCTGTGATGTACGTGTGCAATCAGGGTCGGTTTCCCTTATGGAAGTCTTAAAGTTTCTGTGTTGTTTTGAAGATCTTTAGGCCTATTACAATTGATTTAAAGCTTGTTTTTTAAAATAAAGGTCAGGAGTTCCTCTTTCATATTCATCCAGTTATTACATTTGGATCATAACACCAATGACAGATCACACAGTACCCCCTTCCATTAATTTGGTATTTTCAAAACAAGAATCTGTACTTATATTTAACTGCCATGGCTTGGCATTCCTGTTGTTATAATTAGCTGCTGTCATGTGGATTCTGCTCCTCCCATCACAACAAAGCTCTGTGTTTCATCACCTGTACAGTCTCTCAGACCCACAGCAGGAGTAAACACATTTTTAACACAAAGAAGATGAGCAAGAAGGAGGCAAGTCACTTGGAGGCTAATCTTTTTGAAAGAAAGAAAGAAAGAAAGAAAGAAAGAAAGAAAAGAAAAGAAAAGAAAAGAAACGATATGGAATTTTAAGGCAATATTTCACCTGAGGAAAAGGACTACATGAAACTGATTACAAAATCAACCTAATCTTACACTGAAACAAACAATATTTCCCTTTCAAACTCAACTCAAGTATGAAGAGGGATGTGTTCAGTTTCCATCAATCAAGGACGGGACCTACAGCTTTTTCTCAAAGGTGTGTAAATGATTTTGTTTGATCAAACTGAATTCCATTTTTTCAATATTATTCAATAATACCGGTTACAAACATATAGGCATACATTATTATAATAATATTAATAATATAAAATAAGAAACGCCATGATGGACATCTGTGCATGTGCTGTCATTCACGCACCGGATATGAGCCAGACACATGTCGGACATGTTGACCATGCCACGGTTAGAACAACTTTGTATTTAGTCATTGCATGCATTTAAGAATTTGTTTTAATTAAAATAGATTAAGTTTTTGCCTTTTAGTTTGAGTGGTTACTATGAAAATCCATGGGACACAGGTATGTTTTAGTAAATTTTGAGGCATAAATATTTCATGTCGTCAAAGCCATGTGTTCTTGTGAAGCATGGAAGCTAATTGCTGTAATGTTTGTAAAGTATAGCGTTGTTCTTCTAAAAGTAGCATTAATTATATTCATTACTAATAAATATGAGATCATTATCTATGCCAAGTAGATCTGTAAACCAGTTTTCTTAAAAAAAAATTATTGATTAGGAGGCTTGAATGTATTTGGTTGCTTGGTCTAAGCAGGCCCGAGAGAGAACGATCTAGTAAGGTCAGGGTATAGATCAAATAAATGTGCTCTTGATTTTTTCCACAAAATAATTTTCACAAAGATCTTTATTTCTAATTGCTCATTAATTCTGAAAATTGTACATTTAAAGTAACCGGCTCATGTTTGGGCTCCATCCTCATGCTTCGTTATTAATGTTAGACAAGGTGACCCGTTTGGTAGTTTTTGTTGTGTAATTGTTCTATGAAATCTCCAGATGTTTTAAAGCTCTTTTTGTTTTCTTTTGCTGTTGATCAAGTTTTCATTAAAATACAAAGACATAGAAAGTCATTGTTAATAATAGAATAGATTCAAAGTAGTTTAGCAAGCCGTTGATGTTTTTTTTATCTTCTGTTTCCACAGTTGTACATCATCACTATTTCTGTGTTTCTGCTGCATTTCACAGGTGAGAAATGAAACTGCATTTTAATTGACATTTCATGCCACATGTAATATGTCAAACATTTCTTTCTTTCTTTTTTGTTAGATTATTTCTCTGTTCCTGCATCCCCCGTTGAGGGTTTTGTTGGAAGCTCGGTTGTCTTGTCATGTTTTATCCATCACAGTGAGTTTCAGGACAGAATTAAAGATGTTAATGTACACTGGCGGTACAATAACAGCAAAATTGTGACTGATATAACTGGGGGCAACAGAACAGCTGAAGATCAAGCTCCAGAGTACAAGAACAGAGTTGAAACATTCCCCGAGTATAAAAAAAAGCCAACTTCTGCCTCAAAATCAACAATATAAAAAAAAATCACGCGGGGAAGTACACCTGCATCACCACAGGGCCATTTCAAAATGAGAAGCACATTGAACTTTTTGTCAAAAGGTGTGTAAAATTTTGACTACAATTTAAAATTCAGAATGAAGTTGGTATTGACTGATCAAATTAATGTTACAATCTTTATTGCTGTTTCATTTCACAGATATACCAGAGGAAAAAGAGAACAACAGGAAGTCAATTGTATTACCGATTGTTTTTGTGTCCGTCATTCTGATTTTTGTCATTGTAATTTATGCATCAAGGGAATGCTTGTTACTGACAATCAACCAATGCTGGACACAATGTTGGAAGTATTTCTGCTGCATTTCACAGGTGAGAAATGAAACTGCATTTTAATTGACATTTCATGCCACATGTAATATGTCAAACATTTCTTTCTTTCTTTTTTGTTAGATTATTTCTCTGTTCCTGCATCCCCCGTTGAGGGTTTTGTTGGAAGCTCGGTTGTCTTGTCATGTTTTATCCATCACAGTGAGTTTCAGGACAGAATTAAAGATGTTAATGTACACTGGCGGTACAATAACAGCAAAATTGTGACTGATATAACTGGGGGCAACAGAACAGCTGAAGATCAAGCTCCAGAGTACAAGAACAGAGTTGAAACATTCCCCGAGTATAAAAAAAAGCCAACTTCTGCCTCAAAATCAACAATATAAAAAAAAATCACGCGGGGAAGTACACCTGTATCATCACAGGGCCATTTCAAAATGAGAAGCACATTGAACTTTTTGTCAAAGGTGTCTACAATTTTGACTACAATTTAAAATTCACAATGAAGTTGGTACTGACTGATCAAATTAATGTTACAATCTCTATTGCGGTTTCATTTCACAGATATACCAGAGGAAAAAGAGAACAACAGGAAGTCAATTGTATTACCGATTGTTTTTGTGTTCATCATTCTGATTTTTGTCATTGTAATTTATGCATCAAGGGAATGCTTGTTACTGACAATCAACCAATGCTGGACACAATGTTGAAATTATTTTTCTTTTCTCCGTTACAGTACTTAAATTCATTTTTTAAAGTATCTGTAATTTGAGTATTGTGCAAAATGAATTAAAATTACACTGAATGTTTGTCAAAAATCAACATAAAGAAACACCAAGTATCTATTGTTTCATATGAATGTTCGTTCATACTGAATGTGCACACTGGCCTATAAAAAGCAGTTTAACTCTACATAAGGGTGGTGCTTCTAACGGGAGCTGCCATGTTGAGATCACATGACCAGCTGAGCTCACTTTATCTCAGTAAACCCCTATTATTAGACACTTCTGGAACAAATTGATGGATGCGAACTTTTGCATGAATTTTCTAGATAAATGTAATATTAACAAAACTTCTACACTATAACAATAGATCCAAATCACATAGAAGTACCATAGGTCTAGTATTATGACATCATCGATTTTCGATTAACCCACCTCTAAATGTCACGAAAAATGCAACACACTTTAGTTGGTTGCTTTACATGTGGGTCAGGTTCTTCCTTAAGTAGCCAGTACAATTCTTTCTTTTTATGACTTGCTTAGTAGACAAAAGTAATGCAATTCACTTGTGTATCTAGTTTCTTCAAACAGCAAACAGAACAAATTTATTTGCACTATTTCAGGCTGCATAGCACTTTTACACAACAGAGTTAACACAACATGCTTGAACAAGTCAAATTCAACATATAGAATAAAATAAATTAAAAGGGTCAAATAAATTTAATTAAAACAAATGTAAATGATACAATTTTAAATAAATAAATAAATAAATGCGTAAAGCTAGTGCAAACATTTTAGTGGAACTGATCTGCCAAAGGTAAACTAGTAAACAGTTAACAATTCACATTTTGTCAATTTTCACATTTCATCAAACCTTCAGGATTCCTAAAAAACAAAACAAAAAAGTTATAGAGTCTGTCAGGGTAGATGCAATATTTTATCTGAATGGAAAAGAGGTTGTTTCTTAATACCATTTTTACAATTATTGCTTTTGTGCACTGTACATTTTCTTGCAATGTTTTGCAAGCTGAATGACCAAATCCAAAGTCCGAATCCACTTCAGTAGAGTCCAGTGAACAGACATTTTCTTATGGCATTTACCCTGATTATAACAGGCCTGATATGTAATTGTGTGTGTGTGTCCAATTGTTTGTCATAAATAATATCTAGATGCTAGACACAATGCAATGTAATCTTCAAGTCGAGGCTCACTGTAATTAAAGCACACACTGCTGAACTATATGCAGTCACCACTCACACACAGAGCAGAACAGTAGCAGAGAAGAGAGGAAATAACAGAGATACAATCCTCTCTGCTGTGGTTTCAACTCCACTGTTTGAGCCTGGCTTCTCTTGGATTCCTCTTGGTTTCTCTAAAACATAAAAACAATGAAAGAAGAATGAAAAAGTGTGGCATGTAGGCTAGTACACACTCACTGCACTTCACAGTGTGGACAACCATCAGCAAAAGCACTCAAACTCTACAGGTGAAGTGTGTAATGTCTGTGCCACAAATGATATCAAACGAAAGTGCAAGAATAATCATTTGTTTCCAAACAGGTTTCCCAAACATTCAAACTTCTCCACTCCTTCTGTCTTCCACCTAGACAACTATTTTGAGTCGTTACTCACTGATTTCACATTTGGATTTCAGATTTAGTTTTGATTGTTTACTGTTATGGAAATGATTTTGTTTGTAAATCATGTTTCTTCATAATCTGTTTTGTTTTAGAACCTGTTATTTTGTTTTTCAGATCTGTTATTTTTCAGACTAGTTCTTTTAAAAAATGTATTTGGTCAGAATTGTCATTTTGTTTTAGAATTTATTTTGGTTGTTAGATCTGTTTTGCTTTATAATCTGTTATTTAGTTAATCGTATTTGTTTTAGAATTTATTTTGTTTGTCAGACTGCTTATTTTGTATTAAAATACATTTAGCCAGATTTGTTATTTTGTTTTAGAATTTATTTTGCTTTATAATCTGCTATTTTGTTTTGCAATTTATATTGCTTGTCAGACTAGTTATTGTGTATTACATTTTATATTGTCAGATTTATTTTGTTTTATCGGAATTTTATTTGTTGCTCTGTAATCTGTTATTTTGTTTGTCCGACTGGTTATTTTGTTTTAAAATTTTGCCAGATTTGTTATTTGGTTTTATAATCTGTTTGTCTAACAGACTGTTTTTGCATTATTATTATTATTATTTTGTCAGATTTGTAGTTTTGTTTTAGAATTTGTTATTTTATTTATGAAACTAGTGGTTTTTTTTCTTCCTACAATATGTTTATTTTAAAGATTTGTTGTGTTTTTGAGATTAATTTTGTTTTGGGATTTTAATTTTTTGTTTTATTTTTGGGTCTCGTTCGAAACTTGCTGTTTTGAATTTCTCGGTCAGTCCACTTCTTCACTAAACGGCTTATTACAGGTAGCCCCGCCCCAAACCCACACCATTGGTCGAGGCAGAAATGATGTGCAAGACTACTTGCAAACAGCTGAAAGTGTCAAAGAGCTCTAGTATTTACATTCAGTACATCGACCTATGAACAGCTTACTGTGCAGCTGCCTTTACACATTAAACTGGGATAACAGAAAATATTTGAACATTTAAAAGAAATACACACTTCAATACCAATCATTGATTTTTAGGAGCAAATTATAGTCATTTCATCACACCTCTGACTTGAAGATTTATGCATTTGTTGAGATCAAACTCTGCATTTGGGATGAAGCAGCAGTACGACCCTTCATCACTTTTCTGAAGATTCCCAAGCCTGAGGGAGAAGTTTCCTTTCGAATACTCTGCAGGGAACGTTTCAGTTCTGCCCTTGTACTCTGCGTCCTGCTCCTTCGTCGTCCCTTGGCCATTTAGTATGTCGTAAACATTTTTGCTGTCGTTATATCTCCAGTGTGCAGTGTTGACTTTTAGTTGCCCGGTCTCAAGACGGCACGGCAAAAGTGCAGAATCTCTGATAAAACCCTGAACTATGTCCTGCACAGATGCTGAAACAAAAGCAAAGACAGACCAGGAACATGCAAAAGACAGTCAATGCTGAATTGAAAGTGGATTCAAATGAATATCAGTACATTTTTTGTGCTTACCTTCATTCAAAAGTAGTATAAAGAAACAGACGAGCAACGCACTGCAAAAAACAAACACAAAAACTGTCACACAGACACAATAAACAATGAGGAACTACTATTCACAATAGTAAAGATATGCCTCAGGGTAGTTACTTCTGTTTCTTAAAAATAGCTTTTCCTGAGGGGACTGACAGACTTCAACAACAGGCACTGCAGCGACACAGAGGTCAACGGAACGTCATTTACGATGACAAAAGTGGCTGACGAAACCTATAGCAGTGAAGTTTATATAGACAGGCGGCTTTTGTAGAAGTGTGAAGATACAGAAGACGTTTAGTGAAGAAAGTCTGGGTCACTTTAAATAAGCTGGACATTTATATACATTTACACCAATGGTAATGGACAATGGCGTATTTGGATTATTAAAAATCTTTTAAAACAGATTCTTGCTTTATGCAATATGATTACATAAATAATATAATTAATTAACCTGAAATTACCTGCAACAGGTGCAGTCTGACGTTAGATATAATACAAACACATAAACTATATCATATAATATACAGAGTAGGCATAAATATATGCAATAACATTCGATTTGCTTTCATTTATTTTTCACGAGTTTTGAATAAACGAGTTGTGTTTATGTTCAACTAGCCTGGCAAGCTAGTTATTAGAAATAAAAGCTAAACGAGACCTAACTGCGCAACCAGACGGAACGAATTCCTTGGAAATTACAATTTTCTGTTCCTAACAATATTTCGGACTCGTTCTCATCGTAAACGAATCGATATTTGTAGATGTATAGTGACTGAAGCTTAGCTAACACAAAGCCTGTAACGTTAGCTAATAGCAACACTGAGTGTGGGCTTTTGTCCTGAAGGCCAGAGAATAAAGATGTCTAACGTTACTGCTAGACGACGACATTTTCTGCACAACGTACCTTTTGAGCATCATGGACATATTTATACTAATGTAAACGAACAGTTATTGGAGAAATTAAGAGGAAATTTCAGCTTAAATATAATAGAGAAGCTTGTCCCTAATTTGCATGATCATGGACTGGATAGTGCGCAACTACTGAACATGCGCAGTTCATATCTGTTTATATTATCTTGTTGTGTAAAATAATAAAAAGTTTGATTAAAAGTATAAGTAGGCTACAGTATAAGTTTTGTATATAATGCTAGTGTGTTTGTTATTTGCATTATTTAAACAATTTTCGAGTAGGCCTATGCAATATAATGTAAGGTGTTACCTTCATCAAAAACAAAACAAAACATACATACTGCAAAAACGATCACAAAATGTTTTTGTTTTTTGTCATTGGTAGTGGTTTTTATATATAGTTTGTAATTAATTTCTATTTTAGTTTTAGTTGTTTTAGTACATCAGGTTAAACTAAATTAAAATGAGAAATGCTGCCTTGGCAACTAGGTAAAATAAAAAAGTTATTACTAATGACAATGTTTTTTTTATGGTTTTAATTTTAGTTTCAGTTTAATTTTAGTTTTAGTTTTTTTTTCTTCTCTCTTTTCGTTGGCTGATATGTCCCATGCCAAAAATGTCTAGAAGATGGAACATTGTTAATTAAAAAATAAATAAATAAATAAAATAGTCTCATTAAGGGTTTAGTATAATCTTCAGATTTGTTTGAATATTATTCAATTACATAAAAAATCTAATAAGCAAACGATGCTTTATTATTTCGCAGTATTTTGAACACGTGATTTGATCACACGCTGTAATTCCTGCTGTACACCAGATGGCGCTGTAACGATGCCGATTATTTACCCGACAACCGCCAAACTGCAGACGAAGAAGAAGAACTGGGACGAGCGTCGCACATAAACAGAAAGAGGGATGCCCACTTCTTAGTGCACTTATTGATGTTCTGCTGACCAGAATGATTTAGAAGTGCATTCACCCGTTTATAGCCCATGCCTGATATTCGTAGAGCGAGTCTCAGACAGGTGTGTGCTGTAAGTATGGCGTTTAAGAAGCTTAAATCAGCTCAGATCTGTAATAGTAATGGCCCTGGAGTGCAGCAGCCAATGCTGAATGTTTAAACTGATTGACATTAATCACATTCATGATCTCTAGAGGTTCTAGATACTTATATTGTAATTATTATTTCTAGTATATACGATTATAGCTCGAGCATGGTGTTTTATGTCCTGTGTTTGATTAGAGGTCAGTGAGATTGTAGCAGAATTGATAGTCAGATAGACATATACACAGTTAAACAGCCTTAAAAATCACAACCCTGTGTGAAATGAGCATTTTGAGGACGTTTACTGGATTATTCTGATATTTTTCACAGCTTTGGTCACTGCTGTTCACTTACAAATGAAGTCTAGATACTCAATTAAATTTTGCAAGAATAATAATTATGGAAGACAGAAAGATTCCCAACCTGAGCTGCTTGGAAAGATTTAAATTGTGCATATTGGTTTATAAAAATAAATGCTGAACTTACAATATCTGGGCTGCCAATATCACAATGACTCTAATAATAATAATAATTATTATTATTTTGTAACTAGAACACTATCCTTTTAAAGATCAAACTGCAAATAAGTGTGTGTAAATTGTAGCAGATCTGTATATTTCTATTTATTTACTTATGAAAACCATAATCTTATTTTATTTTTAAAACTTTAGTCTGTTTTATTTTGATTCATTGTAGTAATTGGCATACTGTAATGTTAATAATAATGTTTTGCATCATATGTAACAATATCAATTATAGTTTGAGTTCAGAGAAACACATTTATGGTTTAGAGACTAAAATATATATAAACATAGTTTAATCAAGGTCTTAAAACGTGCACAAATTTGCACATATTAAGGCATTAAAAAAGGTCTTAAATTCATAAAGTATTGGCATTAAATGTTGCATTCACTGCAAAAAAAAAAAAAAAACTTCAGCGTTTTTGTCTTGTTTTCCAATAGAAATATCTAAACTTTCTTAAATCAAGATTTACTTGAGAATGAAGATAAGAAGTCTTGTTTTCTGAGGAATTGAACGAGATGAAGTGAGCTTTTGCTTAAAACATGAAACAAATATCTGTCAGTGGGGTATGATTATTTTTTCACTTTATTTTGATCAATTCCTCAGAAAACAAGACACTTCATATCTTTAGTTTGCATCTCATGTAAATGTATGTTTTGCAGGTACAGTTAAAGTTATTATTTCCATATTTTACTGGAATATGTATGTATGTAAAATGAACTAAAAAGTAATGGAGATCTGTTGGAAATACAACTCATTGTGTGCTTCCTAGACATTTACATTTTGAGAACATACTAATTTATTAATGCTTGGTTTTTCCTTAATTCCGTCCATTTATTCCTTAAATGTTCTTTACTTGGTCTTTAAAAGTCTTCACCTTCATAAAACCTGCAGAAACCCTGATTATACAAATTTCAAGTCTGTAAATTTAAAAAAAAAAAAAAAAAAAAATCCAAAAATACACACGGTTTGCTATAGTATATTAAGCTGATTTGTCTTGGTGTAAAAGTAAAATGTTTAAAAAATATGTTATAATTTCAATATCCTAACTAATATAATGTGTGTTGTAGATGGCAGTCCCGTTCAGAATCCCCAAAAAGAAGCAGCCGTCAGGTTCATGCAGTCTTGACATGCAGTCTCCACTGTCTCGACTGCAGGACAGTAACTCATACAAGGTAATGATGGCATCATCTACACCAGGGGTCTCCTGGAGGGCCGGTGTCCTGCAGAGTTCAGCTCCAACTTGCCTCAACACACCTGCCTGGATGTTTCTAGTATTAGCTGGTTCAGGTGTGTTTGTGCTGAACTCTGCAGGACACCGACCCTCCAGGACCGAGTCTGGAGACCCCTGATCTACACTAATACACAAATGTTTGTATAATCAGCCAATAAAATGTGTTATCCATTTAGTCCCATTACAGTCTCTTTATATAAAGCAACTCAAATATTTCTTGTCTCACAGAGGCAGTGGGGTTCAGTCACTCTTAATGGAAGAACGCCTCATAAAAGCAGTTCTAATGGAAATATGCTGTTAAAAGATGGTCAGAGGAGTGAATCAGTGAGGTGAGACTTCAGAATACCATGCTTTGTATGCTTTGAAAGTTTGGAAACTGTCACTAGATGGAGCTGTTTGTTCACTTTGTAAGTGGTGTGTGCTAAGACCAGCTTCACTGTTACACTACCACTCCAAAGTTTGGAGTAATTATGATTTTTTTTAAATATTTTTTTTTATGTTTTTGAAAGAGTCTATGCTCTCCAAGGCTGCATTTATTTGATAAAAAATGCTGTAAAAACAATAATATTGTGAAAAAATATTACAATTTAAAATAACTGTTTTCTATTTTAATATATTTTAAATTGTATTTTAATCCTGTGATGCAAAGCTGAATTTTCAGCACCATTACTCCAGTTTTCACTGTCACATGATCCTTCAGAAATTATATTAATACGCTGGCTCAGTTATTATTGGTGCTCAATTATTATTAACGGTTCTTGTTATTAATGTTGAAAATTGCTGCTTAATATTTTTATGAAAACTATAATACAATTTTTTTTTCAAGAGTCTGTGATGAATAGAAAGTTTAAAAGAGCATTTATTTACATTTACATTTACATTTAGTCATTTAGCAGACACTTTTATCCAAATACTCATAATTTATTTGAATTATAAAACTTTTGTAACGTTATAAATGTCTTTACTGTCACTTTTAATGAATTCAATGCATCCTTGCATTTTTTTTTTAACTTCTGAATGGTAATGTTTCCACAAAAAATAAATAAATCAATTAATAATTAAATAAGAAGAAATGGTTCTTGAGCATCAAATCAGCATATTAGAATGATTTCTGAAGGATCATGTGACACTGAAGACTGGAGTAATGATGCTTAAATTCAGCTTTGATCACAGGAATAAACTACATTTTAAAATATATTCAAATAAACAGTTATTTTTAATTGTAATAATATTTCATAATAGTACTGTTTTTTTTTTTTTTACTGTATTTTTGATCAAATAAATGCAGGCTGTGTGAGCATAAGAGACTTCTTTCAAAAACATTAACAAATCTTAGTTATTCGAAATTAATTCCTAACCCTAATTATTAAATTGTGCATCTTTTGAGCAGCCAGACTTGCATTTTTTTTTTCCTAACGGATGATAAAACAGGTAAAAGAAAATATTGATTTATGTTGTAACAATGATCTGAGCCACATTTAGAGAGAAAAACATCATTAACAGTTGCATAACGGCACATATTATTTTTTGTATTTGTGTTTTATTTCTCAATTGCAGACCCGTCAGGCCGTCTCTCAGTTCTGGGGATCTTTCACCGGACTCATGCATACGCACCTGCTCAGATAACATTCCCAAAGGAGCTGCACGTGGAGTATTCAGTTTTAAAATGAACAAACAGCCGATAAAAATCAGCCCTGTTCAAGTGAACTGGACACCCAGTAAGGTGTCCGAGACACCCGGTTTCAGAGCCCAATGTCAAACTCCCACCGCAGGCAGAGACTTCACAGGAAATAACAGGTGAGAATCTGAACCATGGTATGGCGGTTAGTGAATGTGCTCCAGAGCAGGAGATTTCGGTATGATCTAGTGGGTTTTATAGCATATATGTTTATTAGTTTCAGATGGAGACCCAAAAGAGCATCAGATACTCTTCTCTGCCATGATGAGAACCATACGGGCGCGTCTGCAAGCTCTTCGTTCAAGACTCGCAGAGGTACAGCCATGTCTTAAGTATCATTACTATTTTATATATAGAAATGTATTCATATTTAATTAGCTTTATTTTTTATGTTTTCCGATTCCATTTTAATTTCAGTTTAATAATTTTATTGTGTGTTTTTGTCAGTTTTATTTTTTTTCTAAACGTAATATTTATTATTATTATTATTATTATTATTATTATTTATTATTATTTGTTTTAGTTTTAATTTTTTCAGTTTTAGTAATTTTAGTACTTAACTAAAAGAAAGTTAGAAATGTTGCTTCGGAAATGTTTACTAACAGTATAACTGAAACTTTTATTTTAATATTTTATTTTATTTCAGTTAACTTTTTATATTAAGTACATTATTATTATTATTATTATTAT